CCTCGGTGGGGTGCTGTGCAAAATGAAGAAACCCGTATCAAATCTAGGACTGCTTCTAATCTTAAAATTAAAAAAAAAAAAAAAGAAATCAAAAAGAGAGGAAAAAAAGAATTTTTCAGAGGTTTTCATGGCAGGGCCACCAAAGCAGGCAAAAACTCAACCAAAACAACCAGTGTGGCTTCAGACTCAGGAGGGCTCTCCCAGCTGGGTGGCAGTGCTGGGGTGGTGATCATGGTTCAGTACTGAAGGTGATGCCTTGTGCAGGCTGCCCTAGAACAGAGGCTAAACAGAGTCACAGAACAAAGCAGGGATTTATTCCAGGATCTCCTCATGGATCCACCTTGGGCAGCACCAGAGCCCAGCCAGGGCTGCACCCAAATGACCCAAAATGGTCCCAAAATGCACGAGCGCTCCCGGGGCTCTCCCTGGGATCAGTTCTGCTCCATTGGCACCTTGGAGTTCATTGTCCCATTCCAGCTCCAGCCCAGGCAGTCCCACCCTGCTTGTTTTTCTCTCTCCAGCCCACGCTGTTTGTGCTCCTGGGCTGAGGTTTGGATCATTTGTCCTTGGTGCCCAGCTGGAGCAGGAATTGTTTTGTCTCCCTGCTCTGTGCAGAGCTCAGCATCCCCTGATGTGAAGCTCAGACCCACACACTAAAGCAGCAGAGAATCTGAAAAATAGAAAAGCTGAAACCTGAGGCATCAAAGGTGGCAGCTTGAGGCTGATGGATGGACTCAGTGATCCTAAGGGTCTTTTCCAGCCTTAACAATTCTCTGATCAGGCTGCTGAATTCACACTGGAGCACTTGCTCTTGAAGCCAGGACAAACCAGAGCTGCTGGGGTGTCTTTGGACATCTCCTGTAGAGGACATAAAGCAGGATGGAGAGGCTGCAGTGTCCAGAACTGCTCCAGCCCAGCTGCTGAGTCACATTCCCAAAGATTTGATGGAATGTGTGGCATTTCTTGGCATTTTGTTGCATGTTGCTGTCTTTAGCTATGGGCATGGAGTGATCTTTGCAGGAGACAATGATTGATACAGCTGGTGGTGGCACTTGCTGTGCCTTTTAAACACCGTTCTTGAGGGTGGAAATTTTTAAGGAAGCTGAGCATGGGGCAGCTTCTACAATGCCTTATTCCCAAAACCATGCAGCTCCTTTTGGTGCCCACTAAAAAGTAACTCAGCATTAGTGATAGGACAGCTGAGGGTAGAGCTGCTTTTCACATTTCTCTGGATCTGAGGCACCAACAGAAGTGTTTCCTCTTGCAGCTTGATTCATCAGTTGGGCTGAGCTCTTCTGCTGACCAATACAGATATCTTTTTCTCCACAGATATCTGCACATAATACAAATATCTTATTTATCATTGTTTCATTGTGGCCAGGTGTCACTTTTGAGAAATGAGCATTGCATTCCTCGAAGCTTGAGTCCTCACTTACCTGACAAGGCTTTAGGGGTTTTCCTCATTTATTATGTAGGCTATATAGCAGTGCTTAGAAGGAATAAATGGGCTTGGAAGCCATCTCTTCCAGCCCAAGACACCCTGGGAAGCTTTTATGTAAGTGTAGTCTTTGCTGCAGAAATAGTTTAAGGCACTTCTAATTTATTTCACATTAAAAACATCCCCTCCAAATGTATCTGTATGCTCTTGATGCCATCTTAGTCTCCTGCACGTTTGAGAACTTTGAATGCATTAACAGCCTAAACCAAGTTATTACATTAATCTCATGAAATCAAAGATTCATATCTTTGACTCAAGGTAAACACCATCAGCAATAAAGAAGTTTAACAGATGGAAATGTGTTTCAAAACTTGGGAAGCATTTTTGCTGGAGATTTTTTTGTTAGATATGTTAATTCTGCTTAAGTTGGAGTTTGCAAGTTCCTGCAAAGTATTTTGTGGGATGTATTCTGGAGATGCTTCTAGTTCTTTGCAGTTTTATAATGTTAACAGTTTCAGTCTTTCTGCATTAGAAACTGAGCTTTTTGGGTTATCATTAACAGTCATGCATCTGTTCTTGAAAATCTGGCTGCCAACTGCAGTTGATGGAATTTGTGTCACTTCAGATTCCCTGTGTGATTTGCCTCAGTGAAGGATTTATTTCAAGCAGTGGAACCCGAGCTCAGAACTCGTGTTGGTGCCATTTCAGCTGCAATGTCCTGTCGCGACTCCGCATCCTCCTCTGTTTGTCTGGAACCAAATACATCAACAAGCACTGCTGTTTAAAAATAAAACCTCATTTTACCTCCCACTGTTCACTTTTGTGCTCTGCTGCCTCCAGGGACACGGGGGTTCTCATGGCAGCGAGAGCTTCTGGCTGGAGCAGAACATTTGGGAGCAGTTGTTCTCCCTTTCTCCTTAGAACTCTGGGCTGTCTCAGGAGATGCTCTTACCCCACAGAGCAGAGCTTGGAGCATCCTGGTCCTAGGCACCCCAGGGTAGCTCCCAAAATGTGCTCAGGTAGGATCAGTAAAGATCTGAATGAGGCACATGTGCTATCTCAGATCCCCACCAAGGGTGGGCTTTGCCTTCTCAATGTCTCACTTCAAAACATTAAAAGGTGAATTTTGACCCTTCTGCAGTTGAAGCAGAGGGAGAGTGGAAGGTTAGTTTGGGACAGTTTCCCAATAACAGAAGTTAAGTAATTAACATATCCATTGGAAAAAAAAAAAAAGTCTCTTGGAGCATTTGCCTTGGGTTTCTTCTGCCCACAAATAAAGACCATCTAGTCTGCTAAGCTAAATGTTGTCTTTATATTGCAGAAAATGTTGCAGAAGAGGCATGGTGTGACAGAATGCATGCCAAATTTCTCTTGGTACATTCATCATTATGCAGAGTTGGGGTTTTGGTTTGCTTTTCTAATTTCTTTTTCCCCTTGGTTTCTTTTCGTGGAGATTGAGTAAAGAACATTCTCAGATTTTTTTCTTGTTTGTTTACAATCTCCAGGCCAGCTAAGTGCAGTGTAAGGCATGAAAAGGTATTTGTGGTTGTGTTCTTTCCAAGTGGAAAACAAGCACAGAGAAGCCAGACACGGGAGAAACCTGCAGGAATTGAGAGTCAAGTCAATGGAGTCAACGGTTCAGTGGCTGAGGATCAGATTTTCTTGTTATTGTCCTGGATATTACAATATTTACTCACTGGGTTCCATGGGTAGCATGGAATTTTTTCCCTTTTGTTATGACTGTTGTAAACTGGGGGCTTTGTGCAGTTGCAAAATTCCTGGGCTGGGTTTTGCCCTGTTATGAGAACAGCACCAAGAGCTGGGATATTTCTGAGAGGCTGGTGACAGAGTGCAGCACATCCTCTCTCCTCCACTCATGGAAGTTAAGAGATTTGAACTCCTTTGAAGCTTGTGATAGAAATCTTGTTCTTTAGATGTGATGATGTAGAGATAGGAGAGGACAATCATGAGAGTTTAATCCATTATCAAATGACTTCAGCTTCCACACCAAGTGTGTGCTCTGCCAACCACACACACCTCAAAGCCTGGGATGCAGAGCTGCAGAAACATCTTCAGAATGATGGGATCTTAAAAAATGTTTAATAAACATGTATTACACTTTTGTGTAGTTAAAAAGCACAGACTACAGAGGAGTGAGTGCTGGAGCCTTTGATGAAACACTTAGGAATAGTGGTAGGAGTCTTTGGAAGTAAATGTTGCTTGACTTCTGCAGAATAAACACTTTTTTAGGATGTTAGAAGCAGTATAATGATATTATATCAAAAAGGGTTTGCTTAATTAGGTGTAGCCAGCAGTTACCTGCAAGAATTTTATCTGGTGATATTTTAGAGATAACTAATTAGAAATTTCTTGAGAACACTTTGAGCTTTCTTGGGTTTTCCACTTTGGACTCTGACTCTGCTGCACTTTGTAATGAACAAAGTGGTTTCTTGGTTAATGGACTGAGGTTTATCTAATGTGTCATTGCTTAAAGAATTAAAGTTGTTGAACATTTAGAAAAGTTACTACTAAGCTTGGAACAGAGTTGGGTTCTTTTAAAGTGCTGAAACAAAGCCCCAGTTGTGATTTGGCATCAATGAATAGTTTGAGTTGAGTAATTTTTGTTTGAATTTACAAGAAACTTTAATGACAGACTCTAATGCTGAGTTTGTCTTTTCAGGATGCAGCTGTGTATGTTTCCTTTCACCCACTCAGCACTAGATGAAAGATGAAATGCCCTATTCATGAAAAAGCACTTACATGGTACTTATGTACAGATGAGATATGTTTTTCCATCCATTTCAATACATGTCTCACAGAGAAGGCACCATATATGAGTCACAACAAAAAGAATTCAGATGACTCTGTTAAGATAGTAAAGTTTATGGAGAAAATTCGGCTTGGGGGTGGAGGAAAATCCCTTCTCAGCCACTAAAAATCAAATGAGCAGCTGCGAGCATTTACGTTGCTCTAGAATTGCCATAACTGTATTGTGTTTAAAGCAAAGTTAAACCTCACATAGAAAGGGTCCCCTTTCAGAAAAACTGCTTGTATATGAAGTGTGAAGGTGTATCAGATGAATTCCAGTAGATACCATTTGGTCGCATTATTGCATGCAAAACCATTTTACCACAGCATAAGATAAACAGCCACCGGAGGCATTAAGTGATGCAAATTCTATTTATTCCAGACAATGTTATTCATCCCTCAAAAGCAGCCTTAAATTAGCAGCTGATCTCTCACAAGCCACAGGATTTAGCAATTTGAGCTGCATACCCCTTGCAAAGTGGTAGAAAGTATTAGAGATCAGATGGTGGATGGAATATGTTCCTCGCTTTAAATCAACCTGAGGTAGCAGCTGCTAAAATCAAGGAAAACCAAGGAAAATCAAATGAGTAAAAGGAACAAGATGGCAATCAGAGTAACTCATAACTGTGAGTTATACCCACTATTTTGCAGCATGTCAAGGCTGAAAAGGCTTGGCAGGACTTTGGAAATACTCTCAGAACATTTTTCCCCCACGTGCTGGTTCTGGACCAGTAATCAATGCAAGAGACAAAGAGCTGGGCTTAAAATAACCCTTCAGCACTGACAGATCCCTTCCTGCAAATCCAACTGTGCTGCACCAGCTCTCCTCCTCTCCCTTGGGTAAGAGTCAGCTGCCACACCGACTGTGAAGGTTTATTTTCTTTTGCACAGTGCAGTGATTCCACTATCCCAGGTTGCTCCAAGCCCCATCCAACCTGGCCCTGAACACTTCCAGGGATGGGGAATCCACAGCTTTTTCTGGTGTTGAGGTAGGGTGATGGAATCACAGTGCTGTGCTCACCTAACTGGGCTCTGCATCCAGGGAAAGCCTCGTGTTTCTATGGAGGAAGCTGCTCCAGAAGAGCTGTTGGAGTAAATTGCAGCAATATCTTTCCAGAGAGTGAATGAAGCAGCTTTGGGAGCCTGACATTAAACAGGATTCACAGGAAGAAACAGGTAACTACAAAACAGCTGGGGCTGAGACGCCAGCTCTAACACCAGACTGATTCTTTGCCTTGGGTGTTTGCTGAAGATAAACACTTATTTATTTCTGATTACAGCCTGACTGCAGGGCGTATGAGAGCTGTATTTAGAGATGATATTTTTTTCCCTCTTGCCAACCCCCAAACCTCTTCAGTTTGTTTGATAAAAATAACTGCAGTGAAAGAGCTTCATAACAGATTCAGCCTTCGTGCTCTGTGGTTCCCTGTTGCACTCGCACTCAGAACAGGAATTTGGCTGATTTGTGGGATGAGAGTGGGATGTATTCCTTGAAAGAGCAGGCAGGTAAGAATTTCTATTATTGTAAATTATCGTGAGGTGCAGTGTTGGAAATGAAATTTCAGCAGCTGCTTGGTCTTATTAAAAATGCAATGCAAACATTTATGGCAAGACCAGCCTTATCACATTCACTTTCTGCACCTGAAGTTGTATTTCAGGTGATCCCCATGCCTTCCCAGGGAGCTCTTAGCCTATTTTTTTCCCCCATATAACAAAAGAAAGTACATAGACCAAATTTAGACTGAACAATTCTCACGGATATGAAATCATTGCATGAATTGTTTGACCTTCTACATCTGTTTTTATTTAATTTTGGCATTGGTGTCTCTCTGGACATTTAAGTAGGTGCACTTTTTCTTAGGAAGTGGTAAAAGTTAACTCCCAATGGCATCAGTACTTTAATCTGGCTCTTGGTGGATCGATCATTTTAATGAGGGACTGGCTGGTTTTTGTTAAATAGATGCAATTTCTGGTTGTATTCTGAATGTCAGAACTTTCTAATCTGGCTCCAGATTTTTGGGAAAGGAATCTGTGAGCCCCACAGGATGGGTGCATTGGTTTATCCTTGGTTCCATGGAAGGACCCCAGGACCATGTGGGGTTTCATTGGGAAGTTGCTCACAGTTACTGTGAGGATTGAAAATAAAGATACTAAACTTCAACCACGCAGAATGATTTCTGAAAGGGGATTAAAGTGGCTTTTTGCGAGAAGAAGTGCACTGGAGTAATTTATGTAAAGACACAGTTTTTTTGCACAGTGTGCAGCTCTTTCATATTCAATATAAACCTGTCAGTGATTCTGGAGCAAGGCACTATGTGAGATGAATAGGAACGAAGGGAAGGGAAAAGATGAATTGCTGGAGCTGTTGCACATCGTAGGCAGCAAGTTTTGATCAGGAGTTGAGAAGCCAGTGTGCACTGCAGGCAAAATCCTGCTCCAAACATCCTCAGAAATGCATGGAAACAGCACTCTGCTCCATGTTTGTACAGAGGGAGGATTTAAACACATTGATGGGAGCTCTGCCCTGACACAGGAGCTCCAGGCAGGTGCTGCCACAGGCTGGGTGGCTGCTGGTGCTGCTTTTTTCCTTCCAGGGTTTTTGGACCTGTATTTGTGGAGAAATGGCTAATTTTTGGTTCTGTTTGATTTTCCTGCCTGCAATTTTTATCCTGCAAGTAGCCCAAAAAGTAAGATTTTTGATTTAGACTGATTTAAATGAGATAGAATAGAAATAGAAATAGAAATAGAAATAGAATAGAATAGAATAGAATAGAATAGAATAGAATAGAATAGAATGAGCAGTGAAGTCATTAAATATAATTGGTGGGTTGGTTTCTTTCCTGCTGAAAAATGCTTTAATTTAAAAATGGGTAATACTGAGGTTTTTTATTTTCACATTCTTGAGGCAGACCAAACAACAACACATCAGAACATCTGGCTGTGGCATTTTAGGAGTGCAAGGAATTGGACCTTGATAATTTCCAGGAACTTGCACAAGACTTTAGGTGCAATAAAGCATTTCTGGGGAAGGACATGACCCTGCTGCCACTGATCCAGGTCAGGGAGCTCCCTTTCCCAATCCCCACTCTTTTTTCCTTGCTTCCAAGGATCTGTTTATTCAGGCAGTGTTTGTGCCCTAACTGTGTGGTGATTCAAGCTCAGTAACTATTTCCTGAGCATCGCAGCCCAAATAATAGAAGTCATCCTTATGTGATTGAAATGACTACTGTTATGCTGATTTTAGGGGAGTTTGCTGATTTTTTTTTTGCAAGTGGAGCAAGGAATTTTGTTCTATTCTCGCATTTTATTTGGACATGTATGGATGAGGAAGGAGCAGATTGTGTTTGGATTAGATTCTGAGAAAGGAACCAGCTGGGTTATGGAAGAAACCACGGTTGTTTTTTAGGTGGGATTGCTGATTCAGTGGTGATTCAGGAGGTTTTCTTTGGCTTTAAAAGGCCATGAAATGCATTCTTTAAAGAAAATTTTAGACTTGAACAAGTGCTCAGCAGTTGTTCAACAGGTTGAGTGTGTAACCATGATCTGTGGCCACCTGCTCTTGCTTTGAGGATGTGCCTGTTTTCCATTTGATTGCCTTCAAAATGGTTCCATGGTTCCATACAGCGTCTTGGGGGTTGTATTTATTGATGATTCTTTCAAAATTAGGGGATTTAAGTAAATGAAAGAGCTTTACATAACTTCAGTCTGCAGGAGGTTGCTGAGCTTTGTAATGAGTCCTGTGGCTTTTCTAAATCACTGGAATTGCTTTTTGCTTGTTTTTGTTGTTTTGGTTTGGGGTTTTTTTCCTTTTTTGTTTGCCAGAAGTTTGCAGAGCTCAGTGATTCATGATCTTCTTTTTATTGACATATCATCTTTCTGGCATCTTTCTGATTTCTCTGAGGTAAATAGATGTGAGTTCAGGCAAAGTTTATTTCCAAAAATGTAAACTCGAGGAGCCAAATGTGTCCAATAAGCAGGAGAGAGAAAAATCTATGATTATTTCACTCTTTTCCTTACATAATGTTCTTTATTTTTTAATTTAGCTTAGATTTTATTCCTTCTACTGGGCTATTTTTTATTGAAATGGTACAGCCTGCCCACTCACAGGATGAACTTTCTCCTGCTGGACAAATACTCCACCACCCTTGTACAAATACTTCAGCTTGTTTGTGTGCTGCCTAACCATTTCTAGTAAGCTTGATAGCTAAAAAATATCTCTAATTGTAAGGTTTTCAGGTTTTTTGTGTCCAGAGGTGATAAATTTATTCTGCCTGGACTGAAGAATTGCTGTTGTACATGGACAGTGTTGTACTGAGTGATGGAGGAATGGAAGAGGAATTACATGGCTATGCTGCACTGCTACTAAATATTGTTGGTTTTTTTCTTTCCATATGAAAATGTTACGAGGATTTCACTCCACCAGCCTCACTTTGCCCTTTCATGTTTCCATTCCTCTTGATGTGAGTCATGGAAAGTTGATCGTGGTAGGACTGTGGGCAGCCTTTCACTTCCAGAGCTGCATCTCTAACTAATGACAGCCTTGTCTTCACAGGAGATTTTCAGAGGGAAACATTTCCACAGGGAAGTTCATTTCTGGAGTGTTCAGGAGGGCGTGGGATCAGCTTTGCTCTGAGATTTTGAAAAACATCAGCAGTGCAAACTGAGAACTTGATTTCAACAAACCTTCCTGATTTGGCAGGGAAGGCACTTAGGCAGAAGGAATATTTGTCCAGATTAGTGGAAACAATTAGGAGACTATGGATAGAATAACATAGCTCTAAGAATGGCATTAGATATATTAAATTAGGAGTAATGTGATGTTCCTGGCCAGATGATTCAGCAGTATTATCTTTTGCCTATTCTTTTGTTTGGTTTTTTTTTTTTTTTTTTTTTTTTT